AGTCAGGCGTGGGATAACGTAGCCTATTCATACACTTACGGAGAAACGTTATACTACTGTGCCCGAGGTCCTGATACTCAGCTTTTTAGGAGAGTATAGCCGTAGTTAGAAATGCCCCGTTTTTTTGTTACTAAAATTGGTGGTGGAATGTGACCCGGTATGGCTGATCACTGAAAAACTGAACACTCTTTCCAGCCTATCCAGATTATTTATGCTGCCCATAGCTGTCTTGTAAAGCATGCTTTTATGATTTTCACTAGGGCAATACTTTCCTCGAAGTAGGTCTCTTAGACCCACCCGCACAATGATTGCAGCTGTGCCCATCCACTTTATAGAAGATTTTATGGTTGGATTTTTGTTTGCGGCCTTAAAAAATCTAATTCGTGCAAGAATTGAAGCGCTCCGAAAGCAACTTTGGTGAACCAAGTTGACATCCGATTCCAATTTTCGCCAGAAAGCGAACTTAATAAACAAAATTGTCACATTTGCAGTGATGATGATCCACAAACCATTATTGAGCCACTCTTACATTCTCAAAAAGTCGTTGTTTGGTGTGCTCTATGGGCAGAGGAAATCAATGGTGCGGCCATAATATTACAGTCAATGGGGCTTACTATAGAGCCATGATTAATGATTTTTTCATAACTGAAGGGGGGATGTTTGGAGGAGGACCTTTGGTGCCAACGAAATTCATTCATAAAGTAGATTATTTTTAATATGTATGTCAGCAGTAGGTGTAGGTGCAGTTGTAAATATATATTCCACTGAACTAAAATCGGCTTATCTGCGGAATATCCTGAAATTTTCAACCAGAAACTGAATTTAAAGCTGTGACTCTCAACCGACGGTGTTTCAATTTTTGAAATTTTCTTTTAATTTTAAAATTTCAAAATTCGAACTGATTTACAATTGTTATATAGATGGCAACCTTACAAAAGAATACTATCAACTCAAAGCCTCCTTCAGTTGGCTTAACACAAATTTTTTTCATATCCATATGGAAGCTTAATGGATTTTTCAAGTATATATATGTATGTATATACGATTTTTGGTTGTTTACTACTAAATTCTCAAAAACTTGGTATTCGAAATATGTGGTTTGAAGACTTTTACTTGACATCTCCGTCCCACTTGCTAATTTTGGCTGTTCATTACTCCGCCTACCAATGCCGCTGTCGCCTCTCATACTGTGATTTTCCGCAATAGCGTTTATTGGAGAATTATAATATTTTACTAAATACCTGTATTACGTAGTATTGCATCCATATAGCACATATGCATGTACATATGTATGTTTCTATTTATTATACTGTAAAGTAGCGATGTGTATGTGTATGTAGTTAGCTCTATGACTCTTTCTGTATGTATATGGATGAATCTGCTGAGTGTACTAATTTCTGTACCCTCTCAGTGGTAAACAAATGTATTGTATAATTTGTTGTTATTTTTGCTGTTGATTACAAATTGATATAGTTCATAATTTGATAACTCCACATACTTGGTTAGTACCAAACGGACTTTTGAAGATATAGTTAAGCGTCGCATATACGTGGCGAGGAAAAAATTTTACGCGTTATAAATAAGAAACGAAAAAAAAAAATAAAAAATAAAAAAAAAAATTAAAAAAAAAATATAAAAAAAATAAAAAAAAATTAAAAATAAAAATAAAAAAAATTAATAAAATTATAAAAAGCGTGTAATAAAATACGGTTTAATAACTGTTAACATTACTCATTTGTGGAAAATAATTTTGATTGTTTTTCGGAAAATTTACAAGCATCAAAATGCAGATCAACGAATATTACTTTGAAGGTATAAAAAATGGTAAAAAAATGTGTGGGTGAAACCGAAAATTTAGTTTTAACCTAAAATAAAATACTCAAAATATAATATAATATTTCCTACAATTTTTTTTTTTATTTATTAGAAAAAGTGTTTAATCTTATTAGTCCTTCTTGCAAGCTTTTTTTTTACAAAAAATAATAATAATAATTATAATAATAAAATAAATTCAAAGTGTATTTATGCCATTTATAACATTTAGCACAAAATTTTTTTATATATCCCTGATATTCAGCTCTACAAAATAATACACATATATATTGAATATAAACTCTATTTAATGGGTCAATGTTAGCCGGAAGTGTTGCCAAATAAATTAAATTCAAAAGCGTATTAAAATTGAAAAAGAACAAAGAATCGCGTTAAAATAAGAAAATATATATATTTTTTTTTGCTGAAAAATAATTTAGTAAAACGCGAAACATACAAATATATGAGACCAAGCACAATTTTCGAAACTCTTTTCTATTGAATAGAGACTGAAGAGCAAAATACTTCAATTTTAACCCATATCAGCCCACAAAATTGATCACATTCCACTAAAAATACTGGAAATTAAAATTTCAAAATTATCTTAATTAAGATAAGATTAACTGACAAGGAAAGCGTAATCAACTATTTTCGCTGGTACAGACATATATGTGTATACATTTCGCTGTAATTAGAATTTCACTCTTCGAGGTGTAGTTCTTAGGACCGGAAAAAAATTTTCTCTTTTAATTTCCTCTCTCCTTTTATGATGTTAAATGCTACAATATTTTTCTCTCAATTTCACCCAATATAACATTCTCAAGCTCACCACGGTCAGTTCATTTCGTTTTGTCATCTTATAATGTCCATTCTAAAGTGCTTGATCTACATTTCTGGAAATTGGTATAATTTTCGCAGGGTTTGCTGTCTAATGTTTGAATATTTCTCTCCTGGTCCGTCTCCAACGACGCTGTCTGTAGTTGCTGCAAAAGTCTCTATAAGACTCAGAGAGCCGTTCGGGTTTTGGGACACTCTGCGTGAATTTTTGCATCATTCAGCTGACGACGAGTGACTCCTTCTCAACTATATTTTTTCCATGCAGCGTATGGAGTGGCCAAGGTCATTGGAGAAATTTCAGTGTTCGAAATTTCCTTACATATGGATCGACGCTTAATGGAAAGATCTGTAGAAAATTATTCATTATTTTCAGATTCATATCTCGGTTTCACTTTGTGTCAGTATTATCTCTTTTATTGACGCTAAGAGACAATAATTTTCAGTAGAACTAGATTTTTAAGCTCTCATGGCCATATTCCCACGCCATAACACCCGTTCTAAAGTATTTGTTCTTTATTCTTAAAAGAGAGCATAGTTTTTACAATTTTTGTTTAGTATAATGTTTGAAGATTGCTTCCTTGTAAGTCTTCGTTCATAGTTGTTGCGAAAGTCGCTTAATATTCTAAATTCTCGATCGACTCTTAGAGCACTCGTCTCTTCTTTAGAGGCTCGCACACTCAGCGTGTGCTGGGCCACTACCTATACATGCGGGTTCAGAGGTTTTACTGGCTCAAGTTAGACCCTAGAAGCTGAGGACAGCTCCTTTTCCAGCCAAGATTAAAACTGTCGAGCTTGGCTTGGCCGATCGGTGGTAGGGCATGGGATATTTCCGTACTCCCAGTGACGTAGTTACCTGGCCGAGATGATGGAATCAACAATGCACTTTCTTATGAACTGTAGTATGTCGGCAAAGCAGAGGCTGAGGAGGAGCTAACGCGATTAGGCGTTTTTATAGATTTATGACGAGCGATCTAACGGTCAGAATATCACTTCTATCTTACGCATTTACAAGAAAAAAACTGGTTTCTAAATGTGAACCATTGCCAATTATTAGGGTTAGTTAAGTTCCGTAAAGAAAGTAAACGTCGTCTATTCTTTGTGCTCTCCAAAGCCGTAATTAATGAGATGACATGACGGAAACGCAGAGGCTTTCAAAGACAGTGCTTCTCATAAAGCATCTCAGCGGTAAATGCTCAAAGCAAATAACTACGCCACTCCTAGAAATATAATGAGTCGTCTTATGAAGAAGACATTTATTGGGATGGGGAGTATAACTCCAGTGCGAATATAACAAGACAACATTAAAAAAGATAAAGAGTCTAGGCAACTGACTGTGGCTTCTTCTTCAGCGACACTGGAACGCGTCCACTTTTTATCGATTTTATCTCTTCACAGCCTACAAGTGAGCCTAGAAGGGATCTCTCACCATTTCAAGCTCTTGTTATCACACAATAATTATCCTTACACTCTTTCACTATGAGCAGCTAAAGCGGATGGGTATATCTCGCCTCCTACAACGTGCCTGGAAATATATTTACAATCATTAAATTTTAATTTTTCTTCATTATACCTGCGCTATTCTCTTCTGAGCTTTATTATCTTCATTTTTTAGGAGTCTAGCACGAAGAAATCAGCTCTACAGTTTCTAAAACCTTAACGTCTCTATTGGCTGGTGGAATTACTTTACACTTTATGACTCCTCAATGGTTTCGTGAGTCTACAGCCCATTACTGATAAACCTAAATGACTTAACGAGGAGGTTTAATGTGTTTAAGACCTTTGGATCTCTTACAGCTCGAAATAGTTTGCACGCCTAGCGGAAGAGAATGTTTGCTAGGCCTCAATTAAGCTCTCTAAGCAAATTTGAGGGGTCTAACCTATCGATAAGAGTGGATTATGGTCTTTCCCAATCCGTGTTCTTGTTAAGGGAAGCAGAGAATTACGCTCATGGGGGATTATGAGTTAAAAATAAGCCGAGGCGCTCACTGGGAGCCATACCGACCGCCATCTCTCTATACTTATTAGCAACATCAACTTAATCTAGAAACTTATACACAAGATCTTATGATAATATTTTATTTGTTTTATTCTTCAAATAAACAAATTCCTTATTTAGATAAATGAAAAAAAAAACTAGCTTGATTGAGCATAATTTAATTGTTTAGATAAATGTTGGAAAAATTTTATTTACCACCTCTGTTTATCTGATCTAATCACGTTGCCAAATAAACTTTTCATTGTCACTTTATAAACAAATATTTATACCAGTCATCTGCAGCTAATAAACATACTTATTATATATTTATCTCTCTCTCTCTCTCTCTCTATCTCTTCTTCTACTCTCCCCACAGAGACTGACAAAATGCAAGGCGTCAAGCGGGTGGTGGTCTTTTGCATACTGATCGTCATACTGCCTTCTGCATTAATTATCATACCGCTCTATCTACGCCGCACCGCCTTCGCCGATGTTGTTTATCCCGTCGCCGAGTCGGACATAATTGAGATACGTGACGGCATCTCATCGATCTTCTGCCAGCAACATTCACTGCGCATGAGTTCGAGTTTTAATGCTTTTCAGCTGCGCAGCAAACCTGAAGTCTCCACGAACCGCAAGCATATACGCCTAAAGAAATCTATGACGCTGCCCGACGACACCTTGGAGTATTGGGGTTTCTACTTGTTGAAAGGCGCCAAAGTGCATTTGAAGTTCTGTTCACGCTATGACGGTTCACGTATACTCGTCGTGCGGGGACAACGCAATTTGAACACCTGCGGACTGCTCGATCATAATCAAAATAAATTGGGTGCCAACTTTGCGCAGGGACATGAAACAGTTAAGGTGTTCTTTGAAGACATACGAGAAATGGCCGACATCATGCCGGTTGATGAGTTGGCTGGCGAAAAGAAGACCGCCGAAAGCGCTATGGAAGAGGAAAATCATGGTGGCGAGGATTCCAGTGAAGATGCCGAAGAGGAGGCATTTCAGCGTGCGAAAATCGCAGCGGCTATGGATGCGGCGGCGGCAGCGCTGGCAGCGGCGCCGTCAGCGCGCTTGGAAAGTAATGAAACGCAGACACCGACGCCGAGACCGACTAAAGTACGCGGTAAAAAGCTGAAAAAAGGTTCTACGAGTACGTCAAGAGGACGCAGACTGCCCTCCAATGCGCCAGCGACCGCGTCAACACATCGCTTGGAAAAGCGTGCACAAAAAGCTGATATAAGCTCTACGCTCTTGATGGAAGCTGCGTATCTGCAGCGGCATCAAGTGGCGGCCGCTAAAAGGAAACAAGAAGTCTACGATCAACTCTACAAACGTCGAAATCGCACCAAGCGCGAACACGTCTACGATCGCAAGTACAGTCATGGCGGTAATGCGATAAATTTCACCATCACCGATGAATCGAACTCGGTATCGAGCTTTGAGACGGGGCTCTTCAACTGCTTTAATGGCACCATACTACTAGCGGAGGGTTTCGCGCCCTCCGCCGAGTGTGTTAATGCGCATTTCCTAGAGAACGGTTCGCAACGTATGCTCTCCAAGCATGATATCACCGAAGATGGTTACTACTATTATATATTTTATAGCGATAACGATCTGGTGCGTAACGATATACACGCGATATTCGATATATATAAGCCGACATTTCAATACTCCAACCTAAGCAACTCGCAGGGTTGTGTGAATGCGACGAATTGCACATTTCCAATCGGTTTTCTATCCGATGAACTGGTCGTCGTGGAAGTGCCAACGCGCGACGGTATCGAGCATGAGGAGGACGATATTACATATTTGATCTCAACGTGCCATCCGCGTACGGCGGTCTATGCAATTTTCCCCATAGCGGTGTTGATATTAATATTAAGTTGTTCGTTTTTATAGTGGGCGTGGCGGGCACGAGGTGTTTTAAGACGATTTGACGAGTGACGATTTATGATAATTAAATTAAATTTTTTTAAGCATAAGTGTAGGTGTAAAAAATGTTAAAAAAAAATAAAAAATGGCGGAAAAATTAATTTCTTAAATATTTTATAAACAAATTTTAGCAGGAAAAAATTTTAGTATTAAAAAATTTTAGCATGAAAAAATTTTAGTATTAAAAAATTTTAGCATAAAAAAATTTTAGTATAAAAAATATTTTTTTAATCGAGTATTTTTTAAGAAAAAACGCTTATATAAATAAATTGGCCATATATTGTATGTAAAATATATGTGTATGTATGTAAATATGGTGGTTACTGTGTCATAAAGAACAAAATAAAAAACATAATAAATAAGTCATTAACTATAATAAAATAAGTTTAGCGCATATACATACACACATACGAGTATATATGTAATATAAAAAAAAATTAAAAGAGAAAATTAGATTTAAAATATTTTTCGAAGATTTTTAAGACAAAAACAATTAAAAAATAATACAAAAAATCGATAATAAAAGTGTGTTTTATATTTTTTAATTATATAATTTTACATTGTGCCAGTTTAAATGTATGTATGTAGTATATGAAATGTAGCTTGTAATGTAATGACGATAATAAATCAATTAGTAAATATGGTAATTCACTTTTAAATATACACATAAATAAAATAAAGTGTAGAATTTGTGTTTTTTTGTGCTGTACTCCAATTGAAAAATGACCGTAATTTTGCTAACGGAAATTCTGCGCAACGGTCACAAAGCAAAAGTGGTTATTTTGGCGCGCAGCCAAGCATTAATTTTTTTTTTTTATCAAACCACCAACTAACAATGAACTTTTTTTGTATGTAATGTGAAATTATAAACAAAAAATATATATACATATATAATGAGTATAGAGAAAGCTATTTATTCCAACAGTCAAAAGTTCATTTAATCAATGCCTTTATTAACAGACGTTGAATATATGTATGTATGTATATATAAAATTCTAAAAAATGTTTAAAAAAAATATCTCCATTTTTTGGGTTTGTCAAATTCATTTATAAATGCGCAGAATAGCGTGGCAATTTTCAAAAAAAAAATAAAAAAATAATAATAATAAATAAAAAAATTTCAAATAATTCTTTCCATAGTCACGGATTTGTCCAAAAATTATTGCTAGCTAATGAAAATATTCTATATTTACTTTTACACTATTAGTTTTCGCTGCTTCTTCTGCACACACGCATCGAAAGTTAAATCGGTATGTAAATCAGTAAAAGTGTGAATTAATATTAATCTACGACTTGTGCTTCTTATAACCTTAATCATTATTTGAATTTATTGATTTATTTAATTTTTTTTTTGTTATAAAAAGGAAGTAAGAAAGTGTGAGTACTTATATACATAAATATATATTCATATACATACATACATATGCGGTTGACGCTTTGTAAACGCGTTTTCGACCGAACTCCTCCAATTTGTGGTTTTGCGTCTTGATATTTTTCGAATAAATAGAGGCACCTACGGTTTATAATAAGACGCCTCCAAACGGCGGATGATTTTTATTGAGGGCTTTGATAAGATCCAATTTGACTAATAGGTACATTCAACGTAAGTGATCATACGATAAATGATAATTTTTAAACTTTATGAAAATTCTGTTTTTTTTTTTTATTAAAAAATGCTTTAAATTATTGTGTACTGTAGTTAATTTTTTTGTCCAAAAAGCATAAGAGTCTAATTGTAAATTAGTTATTTCAAATATCCTTACATCCGAATTTCGTAATAGTAAAACCAAACTCTTCTTGATGAATAAAAAAAAAGCCTTTAATATCAATTTAAAATTTTTCTTTTATTTAAATTAATACAGGAAATGTCTTTTAATAATAGAGAGATTAGATGAATGATTTCTGAAAAGTAAAACAAAACTCAGTACTTATAGTATTTTTAATCCAAAGTTTGTTTCCTTTTGGTGCTAAACCAATGATTGAAATCCAAACGCAAGAGTAATTGCGACAAGGGCGTAGTTGTTGGATTCGTTTTTAAGGCAATCAAGTAGTTCATTAATTGATCCATTAATGAACCAAAACGTTCATCAAGCTGCTCAACATGATCTTTAGCTTTCTGCGCAGACTGCTCTTGACCCAAAACAATGCTGAGATTGTCACACAAATTGAACACGTCGATGAGAATATTATAAATTGGATTATTCGATTGTGAGATTATAAATTGATTAATATTAATTTTAGTAGTTTCATCATTTGAATGTAGAAAACATAGTGAAAGTATATTGGATAAGAATATACTGTGCGCCTTTTGTATCTCTTCGAAGTCTGCTTTATTGAGTATAGTATTTATTAGTATGCTGAATTGGCTTTCCAGCACATCGACTTGTATGTAATACTGCAAATTATCAATGAAGAACATTAATTGATTTAAGAGATTCGTCAATTTTAAATGTTCATTAGTGTTCATTTTGCAACGGCGTACATTATTGCTCCATAGCATATGCAGTTCGAATTGCATTTTCTTTATGAGAAGCAAAAAACGAAATAGTATATTATAATGTTCTATGACCTTGGGAGAGAATAGTAAATGTAGTGGCCAATTAATTTTATAATTCAATTGCATATACTGCAGGTAGTTATGCTCCAATTCTTTCGGATTACCTCCCTGCAACAATGGTTTGGCAATATTGAGCGAAAAGCGTTCGAGATCTTCAGAAACACCAACGCCATGCGCAGCATTTTCGAATGCCTTAACAAAATCATGCACTTTATTTTCATTATACTTGTCTTTGCCGATGATATATGTGAGACGTAAGAACTCCAAGAATAATTCGCCACGCCCAAGTAGGAAAAAATCTTTCATTAGCTTTAATTGTTGCACTAAATCTGCCTGATTAATTGCAATTTCCGACAAACGTGTAGTTACATATGACTTAATTTCATTGACGATACTTTCGTAATGTTGCACATTCAACTCTTCATCATTTTGCAACATTTGTATTTTACCAAAATAAATATGCTCCTTTTCATTACTCAACGAACTCTCATCCTCCAAATCAGTATGTTCCGTTTTACTCCAATTTTGTGTGAGATTTTTATGCTTATTGGCATCTGCTTTAAATATGAGTATTGTTTGTCCTATGAATAGCACCTTCTCAGCCCAACCAGCGGGCAGGTAATGCGGCAGTAGATCGTAGCATATTTCATAACGCCAAATATCCGCATATGTGCTGGCCACTTTTGACAACGTAGTTATGGTGCTTGCATGTTTACCACTTTCTGTGCTAGCGCATTTACTAGTCTCACTTTCAGCCGCACTATTACCATGACCCTCGGCGCATTGTATGAAAAACTCGCCATATGTATCAATTATCTTGGCATAAAGTAACCAATGTGTTAACTGTTTAAAGAATACCACATTCACGGCGAGCTGTAATGTTTTTATAGCTGCACGTATTTTCTTATCACCATGCTCGGCATTTTGATGCAAATACTGCATAATTTCGCAGCCATGCAGTTTCTGTGTACGTATGACGCGTATGAGTTTTCTTAAGTGAAGCGCAAGCGGCTCATATGATTTTAGGTTTCGATATATGAAGAGCAGCGAGTAATTGGCAGGATTCTGTAAATAGCTTCTTTCCAACGCTGTAATATCAGCAAAATAATCTTTCAATACCGTATCGATGCCATTGGCAAAAGCTTTCAAATAGAGTCCTTTTTGCAGCGGCTCATCTGAGTCGAAAATTACAACACTTCGATTGGAACTATTATTACTGCCACATACTTTAGCGAATTTTTCAATATCACGCAATATATTGATAATTTTTATAATATCTTGTAGCACATATTTTTCACAAGGATGCAGGAAAGTTGAAACATCTGCTGCGGTAAAGTCTTCCAATGACAAACGCTTGGACTCCAAATTCAAACAAGAGAGCAACACTTCGTGTATCATGTTGAGAATTTGCTCTTGCTTTTATTTAAAACAAAATAGCATATTTTTAAATGACTTTCTTATTTAGAAAAACTGTATGTAATTTATTTGAATTATTTGATAAACAAATCAAATTTTTTGAAGCGCCTGCTCTAATGCAATTGCAAGAGCACAGCTGATTGCCAAATGTCAAAACTGAACAGCTGTTGTAATAACACAGCTGCCACTAGTGAAGAAGCAAATCGTTAGCAAATCATTTTGTTTAATTAATTATTAACCTTTTTGGTGAATTTAAACGTGTGCTGTTTATAGAAAACAAGGTTATATATTAAAAATCGTTGAACTATTTACATATGTATTTGTATGCAGTAAGCAAATGAATAAGTTGATTATGTTCAGGAGGAGCTTTTAATTTGTCGCCTGCGATTTGTATGCAACTTCATGCAGATGACCGGCATAAATCTAAGAACTATTATTATAATATAATAATAAATATAATAATACTTTGTAAATATTTTAAAAGTATTTACAGTGTTTTACTTAAATTTTGACTGCCTTGATTCGTTGGTAAATAAAACAATAATTCTTCACAATTTGAGCGCCTAAAAGTATGCCATCCTCTCTAACTTTACACAACTTGAAATACAATTTCTTTATCTTTTTGTTACAGAAATCAAAACTTTAGGGTTGTTTTTTCTATTTCAATGCATATTCCCACGTTCTATTTTGCGCTGACCTATGCGTTGTGCATTATAATTTAAATAGCAGAAAAAAATGCTCGTTCTCGCAGTGATTAAGTCGCACATATAGAAAAATAAATGCATATGCGATTATAGTGAGATTAAAAAGAACCGTTTCTGCTCATTTTGTGCTGTCAAATGTGAGAAGAGAGTACATAAAGTTTAAATGCAAGTGACAGCTGGGGAGAAAATAGCAATAATATAACAAATTTATATATGTATGTACATACATATACATACATATGTACATAGATTTTGCAAGGATCGTTTGGAGAAGGCGCATTGAAGAAGCGTCTATTGTTGTCTCTGCTAATTTCCTCAATCTAAAAATATTCATAATTAATTATTAAATATGTATGTAATGCTTGTTTTTATTGGCATTATACGTATGCACGCCGGCAGCCGTTTCGCCTATAATCTTTAATTCTAATATGGTATATGTATGATTATTAGATTTATGGCTCTTTAATGACTTTTATGCATATTTACATACGTGTATGTACATATGTACACATATAAATAAAATCAAGCTAATAATTTTTGTGGCTCAACCAGAATGAAATAAAAACATATTTTTTAAATAAACTTTTTTATATTTAATTCCTATTTTGCTAGTTTCCATAATCTCCCCTTTCAACCAAACAATCAACCATTTTCAAAAATAAAGAATTAACCAAATATATATTGTATTTCTTTTTCTACATGTTTTTTTTAATTGAGAAAAATGTTGAATTTTCGATATATAAAATTTAATTTTTTATTAACATTTATTTACATTAAATATGTGCAAATTTTTAAAAACATCAAAATAAGAAACTCAAAACGACCCCTGCAGATATGACAAACAACCCCCTAAATTGTAATTGTTTGGGGGAAAATCGCTCACTTTTACGCGCTCTCTCTCCCTCTCTCTCTCTATTCTCCCATTGCGCATCCAAGTGCCGTATGGGCACTGCTAGCAGCACATTTCAGGGAGGCACTCAACTTTTATATGCATATAGCCTGACAGTACGTTAAACAACAACAGTAAGTAACAAAAACATTTCCACGAGCAAGCACATGTGAGCGCGTCCAAATAGTATCATTCGTTCCTGTCACAGTAGCAGCAGCTGCTGAATGCGCATGTAGGGTTCAGTTGGTCTCAGTTGGTTGTTGCTGTTGCTGTTGCTGCCGGTTGTATTTTGTGTTCTCGCATTAGTGGCGGCCAACGCGAATGCGGGCGTGAGTGAGTGATTAAAAGCGAATTGCCGAGTGTATAGTGTGCGCATTAACGGTGTGTTGTAGTTGATTTTGTTTTTATTATTTCCTTCCATCCAACTAAGCAGGGCCAATGCGGTGCATTAAGTGATAATTCATACATACATACATATGTACATATACTCATTCGTTATGTGTAGTGACTAATATCGGGAAACATTGATTATTCTTATTAAAATGTTTCGATTATTTTCTAAATATTATACTAATTCATTTATACAACCAGCATTATAGGGTTTGTTGAAAAATGACAACTAAGGTGTGTGTGTGCGATAATGAAAAATTGTATACGCAAAATTAAAAGGTGATAGGTGGTGGGTGAAAATTATGGAACACAACTGCATATATGTATGTATGTTTGTGTTTTAAGTGTACAAAATGTGCTTGAAAAATATGCAGTAGAAATGTTGAAAGTGCAAAAATATAAAGCTATTTATAGTGTTAAAAATAAATGCATTCATTATACACATGTCTATATGTCTATATGTGCAGATATGTTTTGTTCAATATATTTAGTTGTGTGCGTAATGCAAGTAAGCATGTTTTCTGCAGGCAAAAGTGCAAACAAATTTGATTTAAAATGCATTTGAGCAGAAATTTTTGCAGCACCAAGGCAACCAAAGCACAGGAAGTGAATAAAATTAAGTAGTTGGTTTGAAGTTCACAAGCAAAAGGCAGTAAAAAAGGTGGGTGCTTATGAGAATGTGGCATACATACATAGTATAAAAAAAATAGTAATTCGTATATATTATTTTATATATTTACTCTACAGAATTGAAAAAAATAGTGTGTTTGTTAGTAAAAATTTTAAGCCCAAAATACAGAAATACATATCTTCATACATATGTATGTATATAAACCAGAAAAAAAAACAAATTGTATAAAACTAAACTAAAAATATTAAAAAAAAAAAACAAAAATAAAAATGCCATAACAAATTCTATGAGTATACTCATTAACAACCGCTCTCTTTACTCTATATCCTTTCAAAATTTAAATTTATTTTATTCGCTCTCTCTCAATGCTACCAATTTACTCTCCCTACATATACATATATGTACCAAATATTGAATGAATGGCCGAGTGTTTGCATCTGTTCCAATGAAATATTTATTTTGTGTTGAATAGTTTTTCGTAGGAAATTCATCGTTTTTTTTGTTAACAATAAATACTACGACATTTTATAGAGGTAGTTAATAAATTATTTATCGGTGACTCAAATAATTATGACAATAAAATACATATAAAAACAACAGCACAAATTCATTTACATATCGTATGTATATATTGCATACAAGCATAAAATAAAAAAAAAACTAATTTATCGCATTCACTGTGAGAAAAAAGGCTTCTGCTAATGGTTTAAAAGTTATAATAATTTTAATGAAAAAATATTTATTTAATGTAGTATTTATTAATACACCTTTGAAAATTGGGAAAAAAATTTACGCTTTCCAAAGAAATTTTATTTACCGTAACTTTTTTTTCTTAAAAAATATGTTTATTTTAAACCACAAATGCGATATGTTAATTTTTTGGCTCCCCCTAATGTACATAAATAATTAAGTAATTACTATTGTTATATATATATTTTTTGCTTAAAATTTAATTGTTCAATAAATTACCAAATAAAACTAAAAACAAAAAAAAAAAAAACAAAAAAATGCAATTGTATGTATGTATGTATGTATGTGCTCACATATACTTGGTATTTATACTTTGCCCAATTGATTGTGTTTAATATTAAAACATCTAAATTGATTAACCGTACATTGCGCATTCTTTTAAGACAGTCCAGCGCGCTCTTTGATTTAAAAAAATTTTGTCTAAGTTATATCTTCTCTGGCGGATAGATGAAGAGTTGTATTAGAGAAAGCGGCTGCGGGCTGCTCTACAGACCGTCGTAATTGTATGATGAGCGACGGCATAGTTTGCGATGATTTTGTAGGGAGACTACTACAAAACTTGCCAGCATTCGTATGGATTTATATACAGGAAGCGAGAATTTATCGGAAAGTGATCCAAAAGTGACAGAGAATGTTTCGTAAGTCTGATTTGGCAAGAGCGTTAAACTTTATGCTAATCCGGGTAGGTGGATTTGAAGTAGCCTTGTTATCAGAATCTACTGTTAAACATTATAGAAACTGCTTTCCATCCTAAAAATCAATCGGTAATCAAGGCCAAAAACTCACGTCGTTGTACGTCGACAATAGAAGCAGAGAGGTAGTAGTTAAAATGGCTTCATCCAATTAGGCGCTCATCAATTCTTGCTAACGCCGTCCCAGTTGGCATCACGAGAGCAGAAAGGACATTACTAGCAATGACACATGTAGGAAGTACAATGAGGAAAGTCTGAGTGAGACGTTGGATCATCTCCTTTGTGTCTGTGCGACCCCATCTACAACTCGTCATTAGCAACTAAGTGTCTCTCTGCGCAGGATATTAGAGGAAGTTGAAGAACTGGATATCAATACTCTTAAAATTCGTTGACGTCCTATGTATCGACTGTTCACTGTTGGTAGATGCAAGTCGCTCTACTTAAGGCCTCAAGTGGGCTCATTGTGTACCACAGTACCGGCTCCCACTATAAGATCGCAAGCAGTTTACTTGATTGGATAATTTTTTTTCATCCATCTCTGCTTCAACGTGGCCGCAAATCTGGCGCTGGGGTAGGGTTCATCTTCCAAGCTCGTTCTAAAATAATTAACACCATCTTACTGCAGTGAACCCTACGTTGGAATCAAGTGATTTTCGCGTGTTCTTCAGTGTACATCTGTTAAAAGCTTCTGCGGCCAATCGTTCACTGCATGGGTGGAACTAGGTGGTTACCAGCTTTATTTTCTTACGAATAGTCACATTATAGGTAATATGCTGTCATATTGCTCACAGTCCACCAACTGAGCTCAGTTGCCCTGCACTTTAGCTGGATTACTTTTAGCCATACTTGCAAATTGATTGACCAAATAGCGAGGATTGCTAGCAAGTCCTTTGATAAGGTAGTACATAATGCGCTCGCTACATCCGTTTGAGAAGCTTAATTCCGCCCACAATACTAGTGCCCATATCGTAGGGGCCAGACGATACATATAAGTGATCAATGACATGGGGTTTTAGCACTTATTCTGGCGCATTGTACCCTCCGTAGGAAATTGATATTTAAAACATTTTAATGACTCTTCTTTTCATAAGTCCCTTTCTTTATGGTGATTTAGCATTATTATGAAGAGAAAAGTTAAAATTTCTTCGCTTACAGTGAGTCTTTGGCTTGCCGGAAAATATGCTAAGTTTTCGAATAATTTCTTGTTATATTTCATTTAAGACTTTAAACAGGTTGCAGCTCTCTGCAAAAAATAATTTCAAAATCAAGCTAACCTATAACCTATATAAGCTGAATATAGTATATTGTAATGATTTTCCCTAATTAACCTCGCTGATCTCGCAAATCCTTCGAGTTAGATCACTGGATTGTACACTGCAGGTCCCGAATTGGGTATAACTTGTTTATTGTAAATACATAGTTTATAAAAATCCCTTATAAATACACAACTAATTCTTCTACAAGCACTCAGTTTACTCAGCTGCACTTTACATCGATGTTGTCACTACCGAGTTCCAAACTCTACTGCATATGCCAGCATGGCGCGTTTCGCTCTTATAGAGCTAAATATTCTGTTTCAGTGTTCTCGAAAAGGAACACTCGAAGTACGCGCTATAACTAAGACATGATTTAGTTATCTGTTCTTCTTTCTCGCCTCACTTTCGTATTTGGCATTTTCTCTAAGTCCCTTTTCACCAGCGTGCCAATCGTCAATCGCTATCTTCTTCAATAACTTTGCGAGTAGCCTCCAAAATATCTTTAAAAATGATTTTTTTGTCGATTCCATTTCTTGTATTAATGTCGCTTTTCAAAATTTAAATTAAATTCCAAATGTCAAAAGGAAGCAAGGAATGAAAAACTTGAATTCAATAAACATTGACGCAGGTGAAATTAAAAACATAAAAAAGAATTAAAAAAAAAATTGCTGTCAAGACTTGACGCATGTGAAAGTGGATTAGAGTAAATTTCATTATATTTATTCATTAAATTTATTCATTTTTTTTTTTCAGAGAATTTTAAACAGGTGGCAACTATTTTGGCAAATAAATTTTTCTCTAGAAGAGTTCTTAGTTCTCTTCCGTTTAATAGCAAAATTGTAAAATTTTAGTTATTTTGAAGTTTATTTTCTATATTGTAAAGATCTGGCAACACTGCTTTTCGCAATAAAATAATGCAATTTTTTTTTTAAATTTTTTTAAAAATTAAAGTGTATGAATTCCAAGTGATTTTTCCTAAATTCAATATGCAATTCTCTAATTGAGGGTCAAGAGGGTTTCGGGAATGGATTTTGTAAGAAGTTATCCGCGAAAAAGCCTTCCATCTGGAGTTGCTACGCATAATATACTCTTGAAAGTTTAACAATAATTTGTTTTTACTTTAATATTGCAGGTGTAGCAAAAATTATGGGCGTGTGTGGAATTTCATTTACTGTAAACTCACATAAATACATACATACATACATACATACATACAAAATTTGCTGATAACGCTAAGGAAAGTGAAAAAAATAATTGAATTTTTTTACTTTTTAAAACTTTCATTAGTTATATTTATGTTCTAAGTGGATATGTACATACATACAGATACATAGATATGAATGACAGCAATCAGCTATTAATTTCATACATACGCGTATGTACATACATATGTACGTTCACATATGTATATCTTATCATCTTCTACTTTATCAATGTCAATAAGGTGATTAATTGACGCACACGCACAAACATATGGATGTATGCACTTGTTTTTATAAATATCTACATTTGTATGTATGTATATACAGAAATTTAGAGACTTACTACATATGTACATATGTATGTAAATAAATGTATAATTTGGTTTATCTAACGCTTATCAGCATCATATTATAATTAGTCTAACATACACACACGCGCGCACTATACAGTTATGAAATAGATATAGTTGCATACATACATACTTATATACATAACAAAATTATTAGTATTATTTTATCATTTTTTCAAAAACATTTTCAAGATTTCTGCATTTATTAGATACGATTTTTATGATAAAAGTACTATTAGGTTTCTTGATTACACGGAATTTCCGCATTAAGCGAATCACATGTTTCGCTTACTTATTTATCTGTTATCTTTATCACTAAGTTTAAATTTTTTTTTGATTTTAACGGTAATTTTCTTTATTGAAATATTGTATTTTACTATCTTTGCAGTCTCACCACACATAATTCTGTGAGAGCATGACATTTACTTAACCTAATAAAACAATAAAATAAAATAAATTTGCTTAAAAGGGGTAAAAAAAAAAGAAATTGATTAAAAAAAGATTAAAAATCAGTTTTATAACGTTAACTTGACAAAGAACATTTAATATCGCGTAATATTTAAATTAAATTTATCTGAGTGATGCAACTTCACTGAATATTAGTTTGAAAACTTGAGTACTCCTACTGAAATAGAAAATTTTATTACTCCATTAAGCGAAAAAAAAGAATAGAAAAAGAAATGAAAAATAAAATGTTAAAAAAATGTAAAAGAAATTAAAAAAAAGTTGATAAAAAAATGCAAAAAAATTAAAAAAAAAAAATAAAAAAAAAAACAATAA